TGTTATAATTTGCAATTGCATATCCTTAAACAGTTTTAAGTTTCCCAACCATTTTCCTAATTCTAGTAAATACGTTCGAAATCGTTTTGCTTGCAGAATCATTCGGGGTATTTTTCACGGTATGTATCAGCGCGCAAAACTGTCTCGTCCCTCGCACCTATTCTGCTCAAGGACCACGTGGCGAGGAACACGCGAGACGATGATCGTACGAGCGTGGCCTTGCGCCGAGACGCACGTGTTCCCGTGCTCGACGTTCGCCTCCGGCCTTGAAATTCGTACGAATCGGCAAGTTTCGGTTTCTCATCCGTCGCGTTACCCGAGGCGCCACGCCGCTCGCCGTGATAATCTCCGTTTACGGGAGCGACCGGAGGCGGGCTGATAACGATATGCACTTCTCGGCCTGGGAGCGCATCGCCGTTCTCCTCGTGCCGAAAACAGCCGGCCTTGATCTTCGATCCACGCCTTCGGAAACGTGTTATCAGCTTATCGGCGAGATCGTGGATATCGCGTGCCTCCGACGGAGGTGGAAGGTGGCCCGCGCGTGACGGTGAGTTCTCTTTATTGCCTTTGTCTCTCCGCCTGCCTGTTTTATCACGCGAGGACTGTTTATGCGGATTAGACGCGTTGTAAATTACAATTAACGTCGCTACGGAGTTTAACAAAGGAAATTTTGATGAATGGGTCGGGTGATCGCCAGATCAGACGGTGTTTTATTATCCTTTGTCTAATCATTTGGTGGACTCGTCTGTTTTTTGTTAAATGAACATGTTTCAAAACTGAATATGGAGCGTGGTTTTGAAACAATGTTTAAAAAATGCGACGGTATCGGGAAGTCGATGTCGGTTATGCTCGCGTTTTACGTGAGATCTCTGACGTGTTTCGACGATTACGTAAAGCAGCTCTGCCCTTGTCCTCTTCGAATGATCGATTAGTCTCGAGAATTCTTGTATGACCGCGTGCATCTATATAGACAAAATGAAATGATGAGGATGCTCACTATTAGATTATGAATTATATAGACTTAAAACAAAATTAAGTATACTAGGAAATGTAGGATTGGAAACGAGTGAATAAATGAAAATCTTTTTATTCCACTTTTTGCTTTTATATTTGCCTGCATACTGTGAAAAACGCACTGGAAGTAAAGCACAAAAGACAGTTTGGCACCCTTTTAAGGTCCATCCCCACTTTCGATATTCGTACGCGATTGTCATCGATGAAAATCGAGTGATAACGTTTTTAGAAACTTGAAGAACGGCGAGCATTCATTTATCTCCCTAGTCAATTACTGATAATGAAATATAATTATAATTATTGTAAAAAGTTTCCAATATTTTATTTAACACCTATAACAAAACAATTAACTAAACAGAAAGGGAAACAAAACTTGGTGTTTAACATGTTAGCTATATAACTTTTTCAATTTATTGTACATTCCAATTTAACTCATGATGCAGCCATTTGTACGTGGCAAAACGTTTTTCATTTCAACGCATATTCAACGAATTCCAGCCAGGTTCCTGTTAGCAAATATCAAAAGTGAACAATTTATCTTCGTCTTTTAAAACATTGTACATAGTTTTGATTTTAACAATTTCTCTCTCTAGTCAAAAATTCTGTATGAAAAAAACAGGTCGAGCAAGTTTATAAATCTTACTTCTCTGTAAATGTAGTTTTTCCTAAAAGTTTATCGCTATGAATATTGAAGATAGCTTTTTGTCATATTTCTTAAACTCTTAGCTCATGCAACCTTCATTGTACACAGCAAACGTTTTTATTTATCATTATTAATATTCATGAATGCCTCATAAATTTCATTAAAACTCAAAACGTTTCGAATCGTTCTTTTAATTATCTGTCCGTAGTATTACGCGCGCATGTATATGTGCACACGTGTTATTGCTCTGTTATCGGCCGCGATATCATCATCGGTGTGATTCAACGCGCAGACGAGTTCAAGTACAGATTTCGATAGTCGTCAGATCTTAACCTCGAGCAACGTCGCGATCGTTCCAATCGCCGCTTCGCAGAAAACTTTATCTACGATTGAGTTTCCTCGTAGTACTCTGATTTCCGACTTTACTAATAGTTTATTGCCTAAACTTTTGAGTAATGGGACTTTCCTTCATGATTCGATGATTTGTTTATGACTTAACTTCAGATATTTTTCTATAAAAATATTATTATAGTTTTGGATTTCTCTTTTATTCAAGGCTACGAATTTATTTGTGCATCTAATCTATCGATTAACCTTCGCTGACTATTCGCGTTTCGCACTAGGAACGCGTGTATCGTCCGAGGGCGCGTAACTAAAACGAAACTAAAACTGTCGCAAGGACGAAGAACGGTCCGTCCGAGTTCGCGCAAGCGTTTCGGCCTTCGGCGTGACTCCTGGACCGAAAAGATCGAAGTATCATCGTCCGAGGAACCGGCGGCGGCGGCGGCGGCGTGGCGTCGGTACGTACGTCTATACATAACGCTGACATAACAATCGGCACGCGTTTCAGTCTGTGTAAAAAATAAAGTTCCACGGCCTCGAGGGCCTCCGTGAAGAAGCTTATGCGATTGCCGGATTTAGGTACGTCCGTATCAGATTATCGGCCGGAGATATCTTCGGCAGGTGACGTCAAATCAATAGAATCAGCGATCTTACCGAAATCTTTTGTCTCACAAATTAAATCGCGGTCCCAATTATTTCTCGAAAAATGTTTTGCAAGAAGATCGAACGGTCTCATTTATACGGCTTTGTCGTTTGTATAGTATTTGTTCCTCGATCTTCTATATAAGGTAATTTGATCAACAATCTTTTGGCAAACGACAGGCGTGATTGAAGACTTTTTTTTAGAACGGAATCCGTCAGATTTTGTGAGAATAAACTCGAAACTGTTGATCGTATTCTTTTTCTGTTATCGAGCTTGTCTGCAGTCTTCCCCTTTTTTTTTTTATTATCTGCTATATTTCGTTTTGACGAGTCCGCGCGAGAGCGGAACACGCACGTGGTTACCGATCACGTTGTTCGAGGTTATGATCGAACGAGCAACCGGATCCGCACTTGAACCCGGCCGCTTATCGCGATAACACGTATTGCCGGTTATCTGAGATCTGGATATAAACCCGTTGCGTGTGTTTGTGCGGCGCGGTAAACAGAGGATCTTTGAAATTATCGCGGGGCGATCGTTCAGTATCGATCGTTCATTAGACTTAGAACGCTTCCACGAGGTGTCTGATAATTATTTTAAATTCTATTTGAATTGTTGTAAATGATGTGATAACAACCATGAAATAAATCATACAATGAATAGTTTTAATAAAATTCTTCAGATGAAAGGATATAAACAATTTTCGTATAACAATTTTAATAAGTTTTTATATTTGTTAGAATTATTAATGAACAGCAGAACGTAGGATCAGTTTTATAGAAGATCATCGTAAATTGGACTTAAATCGACATTTATAAATTCGTGAGAATTGCAAATCAACGACAAGGTCTGTTCTATAGAATTTCGTTATAAATTGAGCTTTCAATTCGTGGAAGAGATCAGTTTACAATAAAGTCAGATAAAACAGAGGTAACAATTTCAATGAAAAATGAGCAATTTTTAAATTTGTTACAAGTATTACTAAATGAACAGCAGAACGTAGGACAAATCTTTTAGAATCCTCGTAAATTGAATTATATCGACATTTCTTAATTCGTGAAAATTACAATGTAGTTCCAACCATTTAATAAACCATACAATAAATATTGAATAGTTTTAATTTTATTCTGCAGATGAAAGGACATAAACAATTTTCATGTAACAATTTCAATGAGGAGATTTGAAGCTTATAAGAGTTATTAATAAATGCAGAGCAGAACGTACGACCATGTACGACCTGTTCTATGGAATTCCATAATAAATTGAATTTAGATCGACATTTTTAAATTGGTGAAAAATACAAATGAACGACAGAACCTGTTCTATAGAATTCCGTTATAAATTGAGCTTTCGGTTCGTGGAAGAGGTCGATTTACAGCGACGACGCTAGATAGAATAGAGTTAACTTCTTTCTGAGAAGACTTGTAAGATAGACCTGACATGTCAGCGGTTTGACTCACGTTTTCCTCGAACGGCAAGCAATCTGTGAGACACGCGTGCCTGACTTTTTCGAAAACAAGATAGAGACCCGCAAAACCGACTACGGCTTTTCTACTAACGCGCTGTCCTTGGGGCAATCTCGTCCTTGCGACGGATCCTTGAAGCATCTTTGACGTCGAATCAAGGCTCGCCCGGAGCAGTGCCTGGTAAAAAGCGCCTTGGTGACCTTTCGAATTACCGCGCAAAAAATCTACGACCTCAAGTTAATTTAACCCTCGCTTGACTCGTCCTTCCGTCTCATTGCATCAAGTAATAAAAGAAACACCTCTGTGACCTTTCGTATTATCATGTAAAAAAATCGAAACCTCTACTGAGTTTAACCCTCGTTTGACTCGTCCTTTCATTTCATTCAAACAATAAAATAATTGAATTTTATTCTGATTTATAATTTAGCATGGAAGCTAAAAAGATGACATGAAGGCGAATTTACTTCCTCATTTGTCTATTCATCAAATCGAAAGTAATTGAAGCTAACTTAAATTACTAAGCCTTTTAATATTCTTTCGCAAGTGTAAAAAGATGTACGCCGTTTAAATATCGCAATTAAATAAGAAGGGTGTTTTACGACTGACTGTTCACCTTAAAAGGGTATTTTCGAATTTGCCCGTCAAACGTTTCCAAAGTTTGAATCAATTATGTGTACAGCTTATTTGCGGAGCATAAATCATCGCGTCGTTTCGTCACGTTGACGATTTGCTTACACGCGTCAAATAAATTGCCTGTATCGTCGTCAGCGTAAACACGGCAATATATATTTCGTTCGTTTCCTTCTTTTAGACTCTCTTATCCAATGTGTGTACATGCATCAAACGTAAACGAATTCGTTGCATCACGCAGACTGCATTCTAAACCATATTCTTAATTACACGCCGTTTTCCATATCAGATATTAGCCTAATAAAATTGTTTAATGTATAATACAAATTCTACGAAAATGGAAACCTCGTATTTGCTTCACACGTACAATTACCTTCTCATTATCGTTACTATAAATTCGTCTGCGTTACGAAAAGGACCAGTCGTAATAAATGAATAGATAATTGATAACAATAATCAGACCGCGGATTTTTTAATAAAAGTATATAAAACAATTGACATGAACCTCGTGAGATTATAAAAATCTGCATAAATTCAAAATACGTTTCAGAAAATATAAGTCCTATTAATGACAATCAATAATTCTCGTTCTCAATTGATTACTATTGTAACGTCAGACGTTGAAAATTCTCTTCCCGTCGGACAAGATCATTTCCGAAAATATCAGCCGCGAGGCTAGTGTAACACCAAACGCGTCGGATCTCTAGAGGTCAATTGGACCGGGTGCTATTCTATCGTATTTCAACCGAGGACCTTGTCCGGCTCGCGATCAGACTTCGATTCGTCGATAGGAACCGGCCTGCCTGCTTACC